ATCAGATGAATGAACATATTAAATTGAAATTTTCCTTGTATTGTAAAGTTCTTTTTATGTAATTCCTCTGAATTGTTTTAATTAAATTATATTATGTCGAAAATAAACACTCCTGTGAACAAATCCATTTCAAAATTCAGAAACCATAAGAGAATAGAGACCCATAGAAAATAATCTTTGATCAATTTGGTAATTTCAGAGAATGTATCAACTCGATAAGTAAAGTATATGATATATTAAAGGCTGCTTAAAAACTTTAGATAAAGTATTCCACGGCAAAGTATATTATGAAGAATTTTAAAAATAAAGGAAATTGTTTGGACGAACATTAACATCCTTAGAGCAAACAAAAATCCATAATTTAAAATGTTAATATAGTAATAGATGTATCTGATGGCAGTATTATGTTGGCTAAAAATAATCAAAAAATAAGTTATTGTGACTTTTCTTCTTTACAAGAAGAGTATAAAAACCAGAACTTATTATAAACTTCTGAATTGATTTATGAGAAACTGGGGAAAATTTCTTGGCATAAATTTCATTATAAAGAATGTAGAGATGAAGAAATGCTCAAGAAATTTTTACTTAGATAACATATTCTGATGAAGTAATAATGAAAAAATTATATATATCATATATGTTTTATTAATTAAATACTTTCGTAATTAAATCTCAAGGCCAATTATTAAAGATCTTCATCTCATAAATATCAGAAATTACCCATATGCTCTATTATTATAGTTTTCTGAAGTTATCGATCAAATTTCGAGCTTAGGAAATAGCATTATACGAAGATATTTTATCTGAAAACTTTCATTTAAATTAAAAATTTCTTTTCTTTAATAATATTATCTGCATATATTATAATATAATAAAGAGTCATTCTAATATGTCTATCATGTAAATCTAATTTCATTTTGATAATTTCTACATTCTAAATACTTAATATACAAGGATATTAATTAATAAAATATTTTATAAAGAACAATGTTTGAATAAAAATTTAAAGATTTAAGAATTAAGATGAAGACAAAAAAAGTTAAGAAGATAAGTCTCTCATTAAAATAATTACTCATTGAAAGTGTCATGACTGATCACTTATCTATTCATCAAGTAAACTACTTAATAATATACAAGGCCTCGAAACTTCACTCCATCAATTACTCATCAGCTAAATATATTATAAACTTATATAAAAAATTAGGTACTGTGACTCCTTAGTAATCAAAGCAAAGGAGAAAACCTAAAGTTTATATAATCAAAACATCAGTTTTAGTTGACTACAATTCTGGGGAGATTTTACTATATAAATAAAATTAATTAAAAAAATAGAATCACCAGGAGAACTAATAGATATGTATGAAGAAAGGACTCATCATGACTTCAAAATCAATTTTTTAGTCACTTAAAATTAAAGAAAAAATTATTTCTGAATCAAATTCTGATTATAAAAAATTTCCAACCTTTACCAATATTTCTGAATTAAAAAACTACATTTAGATACAACACAAACTGATGATTTCATGATTAAGTATTATATATTTTTTATTAATATTGATCAGATGAAATTTTATTAACTAAAAGAATTCAACAATATTTTTCATTATTGTTTTGATTATAAGCTACTTTAATCAATATATTCCTTGATTACTCATCATTATTAACAGAAATATACAAAAATAACACCAAGTAATTTAGTTCTAAATTACATAAAAATTTTTTATTTTATATATATTTAATTACTGGTTGAATGACTCATAATTTGTGTCACTAATTATTAATAAACTTAAGTGTAATAAAAATGTTAGTTAGAAGAGGAGAGTTAAAATAAAATAAGAAATACTCAATGATGTGAACACATTAATATTAATTTAAATCATATTTATCTTGGGATAAAATTTTAAAATATCAAAATTATCTATTAATCATTTAACATATTTATAACAAATAGAGAATCAATAAGTTCAAAATAGAAGCATATTAATCAATTATTTTTATTTTGAAAAAAGGTTTGAAAATATATTTATTTATTTATTTAACAATTATTTAATAATAATGGGTTTGATAATAAATTAAATCAAATATTTAATGTTATTTTCAAGTGTTCATATAAAATTGTAAAATTTAAAAGTTTTTAGTAACAAAACAAGAGATTATAGTTATAATTCCAATATACTTATGAAGATTGATGATATATATCAATTTCATCATATACTATTTTTTATTTATAATGAATTGTTAATTCTGAGATTATTTAAATTTCATAAATCCAGATTTGAAGTAATAATTAGTTATCGTTGTATGAAAAAATGTATTTTTTTCAAATAATAAATACATTCAAATTTATCGAAAAGTGCTCAATTATTTTTAGCTACATAATCTTAACAAAATCAGAGCTTGTTAGAAGATCTTTAAATTTTTACAGTAATTATTTAAAATTTGTTTTGTTATTTATGATTTACATGATGATAAAAGTCAAAAATTAACATTTATAAATAAAGAAGATTCATCTTTTATTATCAAAAAGTATATGAAAATGTTAAATTAAAATAAGTTGAAGATGTTTTGTAGAAAAAATCAATCTGGTCAATTTGGAACTTATATCAATTTTTGATATATTATCTTTTTGTTTATTTTATTACAAATTAAGTGGGTTATTTTGTCTTATGATTTTACTATCATTAATCTTCGCAGTAATTCAATCAATAGAAATGTAACAACTCCTAAAAAATGAATTTTTTTTGTTATTTTGTCCATTAGAAAATCCATGAAAAAACATCAGGAATACTTAAAAATGGAATGAAGAGATGAAGTTTGTTAAAATCTTAACCATTATTATTAGTAATCTACTTAATGATCTAATTTTTTTGTCTATAAATTTAATAATTGAAATTAAGATAGTTATTAGATTTCTATTTAAACCTTTTATAAATTATCAAGAGAATATATGATGATTTAAAAATATCAATAGATAATAAGGAATTATTTTTAATAATTCAAAGATGTATAATCTTACAAATAAAATGTAAGAGTATTGTAAAATAAAAATGAAATACTTTAGAAATAGTTTTTTATAGTAAGATTTAGCTTATTATTATTTTCTCTATTGAAACTAAAGATTATATTTATATTTATTTATGTTATTATTAAGAAGGCTTCCAAAATTTTTATTTTGTTAAAATTAAAACATTGATAAGAAAAATGTTACTGTAAATATGGAATAGATAAAATAAAGAATAATGGATAGAAAGACTGAATTGCCATTTAAGGATCCATCAATAAATAAGCCTAGAGAATTTTATGATACAAAATAAAATAAAAGGAAAACAGAATATATATTCGATTTTATTGATCCTACTTTGCATAACAAACCATTTTTATAACAAGTTTTTGGATTAGGTAATGGGTATTTTTCTGTAAATGATGTATGGTATCCAGGAAGCATATTAATATTTCCTTAATAAATATTTTTATGGGATGTATAAACTGCAGCTGATATAAGAGCACATAGTTTTGATATTTTAGAAGTGATAAAACCAAGACCAAGTAAAAATAATATATATATAAATAGGTTATGTATTGATTGGAACAGGAAGAGAGAAACAAGATTTACCAGAATCATATTTTGAGAAGTTTAAAAAGTATGGTATAAAGGTGGATGTAGTTGCAACATTTGAAGCATGCAGTCATTTCAATTTTTGTAGTGAAGAACAAAGAGATGTTTGTGCTTTTATGATTCCTTAAAATTTATGAATTAATATTAATATATATAAATAATTAGAAATGTTATCACATTAATTGTTATCTTAATGGAGGAAGGGTCCAATTAATAGTGTACCATTAGAACCTGGACGTATTAAATAAATAATTCGATAGATGGTAGAGGGATATTCTGTATGGACATAATGAAGGATCATTTAGTTACTGGATCAGCTGATCATGGTTTGAGATGTTATAATTTATCTTCAATGAAATATGAAAAAGAATTATATGCAAAAAGATATGGACATACAGAATGGGTTAGTTCAGTATAGCATTTATAAAATGGATAAATAGTATCAGCAGGGATGGATAGTAAGATTTGTTTATGGGATGCAAAGGGAGTAAGATGTAATGATTTACTTGGACATTAAGGATCAATTACTAAATTGATGGTAGATGAATAGTCAGTTTGTATATCAAGTTCATATGATTAAACATTGGTAATTTGGTAATTAAGTTCAATGTCAGAGAGTAGAAAATTATTTGGACCACATAAAAGTGCAGTATTAGATTTTGATTGGAAAAATTCATTATGTGTTAGTGGTGATAAATCTGGTACTGTAGTATTTTGGGATATAAATGAAGGAGAACCAGTGATGTCTAAAAATACTCATAAAGGAGCAGTATCTAAATGTTTATTGTATTCAGATGGAGGAAATAATAATCTTGTAATAACAGCAGGTATTAATGATGGAACATTGGCAATTCATGATATGAGAACTAATAAATTAGTAAATTAGAGTTAGATTCATAAAGGATCAATTAATGGTTTGGCAGTGAATTTATAAAATTTTAGTAAGATTTCTAATTAATTTATAAGTAATTACTGGTAGTGCTGATGCCACTTGTAAAATAATTGATATAGTTGCTGGATTCAAACCAGTATCTATGATGAAAGCTAAAGATGCTGTATTTTCTATAGAGACTATATATAATATGACAATAGCAGGATGTGGAGATGGCAATGTATTATTTTATGATAATGATTCTGGTTAATGTTTATATGGATTTGGAGCAATGAATAAGGGTTGTGTTAGATAATTGAAAATAAATGATAATAAAACAAAATTAGTTGCTATAGGTGATGATTTTTCACCAATGGTTTTACAATATTAATGATTATATGTATATGAATATAATTTGATCTATTGTTATATTAATTATTGGAATAATTCATTCCATAAAATTAGTAAGAATAAATTAAAAATTTAAATAATAAAAATATTTTTTGTGAAAATATGAGTTTTCGTTAAACAAGATGGAGATTTTTGGCAGTGACTTTAGCTGCTTTAATTCTTTTAGGAAATAATTATTCATTTGATAATCCTCAAGCCTTGCAAACATAAATTTAATAATAATTAGGAATTAGCATTATTCAGTTTAATTTACTATATAGTGTTTTTGCTTTACCTAATATCTTTCTCACTATTTTGGGAGGTATGATAAATCATCTATATTGTAGGAATGATAATTGATAGATTAGGTGTAAGATTTGGAATCTTTACATTTACTCTTATAGTTACTATTGGTTAATTAATAATAGCGTTGGGTGGCTAATTCAATCAATATTCCTTAATGTTATTAGGAAGAGCAATATTTGGTGTGGCTAGTGAAAATTTAATTATTGCATAAAGTACATTTGTCAGTTTATGGTTTAAGGGTTCAGAATTAGCAACTGTAATATATTCTAAGTTAATATAGGCTATGGGAATAATAATGACTGTTCCAGAATTAGGAGGTGCTCTTAATAGTTTATTGACTCCATTAATCTATTAATCTAGTCAAAAATTATCAGTACCACTTTTTGCCAGTGTAGGATTTTGTTTATTCTCATTTATTTGTGGAATGATTTTGGTATACCTAGATAAATATGCTGAAAAATATGATTAAAGATGTGAGTAATAAATTTGATATACTCCTTTATAGAATCTGATTCTGAATATGTATTGGAATAAAATATTATGGAAAAAGAAGAAGGAGATGAAGATGAAGAAGAGGAGAAATTAGAAGAATCAAAAGAAGAAATTAGTTTAAAGGATCTTAAATAATTATCAGGAACAGTTTGGATCCTATTAATGATCTGCACTTTTAGTCTTTGTATATTTATACCTTTTTTGGATAATGCTAATTAATTTTGTTAATAGAGATTTAATCTATCTTATATATCAGCTGGGAGAGCAATCATCATTACCTACTTGACACCAAGTAAATTCATTTCATTATTTTAGTATTTATATCTCCATTTATTGGATATATAGTTGATAAGGTAGGTTATAGAAGAAGATGGATGATATTGACATCTTTACTCTTTATTATTTCCCATTTATTATTTGCAATAATACCAACTCCTGAAGATGGATCACCATAATTTGCAGCTGTAGTTCCTTTGTTCTTATTAGGAGTTAGTTATGCATTCTATTCTTGTGTTATGATTCCTTGTGTTTAATATCTTGTTGATTAAAGAATCATGGGTACTGCATTTGGTTTGATGGGTCTATTTGAAAGTATAGGAGCTTGCATTTTCCCTTTAGTATCTTCTTAAATATATAACACTAATGGTGATTATAGGTAAGTTGGATTCTTTTATATGGGAATTGGTTGTGTTAATTTAATCTTTGTATTAACATTATATTTTGTTGATAAGAAAGGGAGTGAAGTACTGGATAAAATTAATCCTTTAGAAGGGAATAGTGATAAGGATTCATCATCAACTTCTGATGATTCTGTTGCTTCAGATTTAACAGATGAAGATGAAAGAGAGTATATAGAGATGAAATCCAATATCAATTCGTTAAAGTTACAACCATTAGAAACTAACAGTGACACAAAAAGCGAACCAGGTGATATTAAGATGTAGAGATCTCTTAGCTTCGAATATTCAATGCAAATTACAAAATTAGATAATTGATCATAAATATATAAGATTTCATTTTATTAATATGTAAAATTACTTATAAGATTTTTTTAATTCAAAATGATCTAAGTTTAAAACTAATGATGATAGTATACTTATATTTAGACTTTCCTTACAGTTCTATTTATTTATAAACTTGAATGCTTTTTCTTAGAAATCTTATACAATTTTAGAACACTTATTATAAAACATAAATGAAAGTCAACGTATATATTATTTTATTAATTTATAATTCTTATAAAAATAAAGTTATTATTTTCCATATGTTAAAATCATCTGGTAATTGAGATTCATTAATAAATTATATTCCATAACTCATAATTTTTAATCTTTATAATAATACTCTCTAAATATTCACAGTTTATACAATATTACCATTATTATCAGTACTTTAAATTATAAATATATACTATATTTATTGCTTATGTAATAACCATTTATAGAATTGACATTCGAATATTTATGTTTTATATAGGATTATATTTTGTCAACGGATAATTATTTATATATTTATCTGTTAATGGAATTGTCTGCTAATAAATCTCTAAACAAAGAGAATAAGAACCCTGTATTAGTGCTCACCCANTTAATCTATCTTATATATCAGCTGGGAGAGCAATCATCATTACCTACTTGACACCAAGTAAATTCATTTCATTATTTTAGTATTTATATCTCCATTTATTGGATATATAGTTGATAAGGTAGGTTATAGAAGAAGATGGATGATATTGACATCTTTACTCTTTATTATTTCCCATTTATTATTTGCAATAATACCAACTCCTGAAGATGGATCACCATAATTTGCAGCTGTAGTTCCTTTGTTCTTATTAGGAGTTAGTTATGCATTCTATTCTTGTGTTATGATTCCTTGTGTTTAATATCTTGTTGATTAAAGAATCATGGGTACTGCATTTGGTTTGATGGGTCTATTTGAAAGTATAGGAGCTTGCATTTTCCCTTTAGTATCTTCTTAAATATATAACACTAATGGTGATTATAGGTAAGTTGGATTCTTTTATATGGGAATTGGTTGTGTTAATTTAATCTTTGTATTAACATTATATTTTGTTGATAAGAAAGGGAGTGAAGTACTGGATAAAATTAATCCTTTAGAAGGGAATAGTGATAAGGATTCATCATCAACTTCTGATGATTCTGTTGCTTCAGATTTAACAGATGAAGATGAAAGAGAGTATATAGAGATGAAATCCAATATCAATTCGTTAAAGTTACAACCATTAGAAACTAACAGTGACACAAAAAGCGAACCAGGTGATATTAAGATGTAGAGATCTCTTAGCTTCGAATATTCAATGCAAATTACAAAATTAGATAATTGATCATAAATATATAAGATTTCATTTTATTAATATGTAAAATTACTTATAAGATTTTTTTAATTCAAAATGATCTAAGTTTAAAACTAATGATGATAGTATACTTATATTTAGACTTTCCTTACAGTTCTATTTATTTATAAACTTGAATGCTTTTTCTTAGAAATCTTATACAATTTTAGAACACTTATTATAAAACATAAATGAAAGTCAACGTATATATTATTTTATTAATTTATAATTCTTATAAAAATAAAGTTATTATTTTCCATATGTTAAAATCATCTGGTAATTGAGATTCATTAATAAATTATATTCCATAACTCATAATTTTTAATCTTTATAATAATACTCTCTAAATATTCACAGTTTATACAATATTACCATTATTATCAGTACTTTAAATTATAAATATATACTATATTTATTGCTTATGTAATAACCATTTATAGAATTGACATTCGAATATTTATGTTTTATATAGGATTATATTTTGTCAACGGATAATTATTTATATATTTATCTGTTAATGGAATTGTCTGCTAATAAATCTCTAAACAAAGAGAATAAGAACCCTGTATTAGTGCTCACCCAATATGAGATGATGTAAAAAGAAGGTGGCTTTCCTAAAACCACTTCATCAATACATTCTTAACATAGATTCTACTATAGAAAATAAAAGCAACCTATTGTTTAACCAATTCAAAATCTTATATTTGGTCATTCTAACAGCTCCTAATCAATCCATAAAGATATAGAGAAGATAGCAAAATAATTATAATCTTAGCATATTTAAACCATGACTTAATTCAATTTAACCTAGCCTCTAAAAGAAAGATACCCTACCTAATATTCTCATTCCTCTAATGCTTAAGTTATTGAGGTCTTGGAAATGTTAGAGAAAGAAAATTTAATGAAAATTCAATAGATTAAACCAAGTACTCCTAGAAGACTATATACTCCATAAGTTAATACTAAATTACCTACTTTACATAACGAGAATAAGAGTAATGACTAAGAGAACAATGATAAGACTACTCATATATTGAAAAACAAACTTTTATTTAGAAGAACAATAAATCCTTCTGTAGATAAAATTAAGAAATTAAATTAACCTGCAGTTGAAGTAAGACATAAAAGAATAGCTTCTTAGATTTTGAATGACCCTGACAATATAAATTTACATAAACCTTTGAATGAGAGAATTAATAAGGTATTACAGAATTCAAATAAAATAATATCTATTTGCAATAAAATACCAGAGATTAAAGAATAAATAGTTGAAGAGCAACTATTAGATTTAATAAATTCTGATCATTTTAAAATTGAATTCCAACATTTAATTAATAATTCATAAGGTTGTAATTAACCAATGGAATAAATTTTATAAAACTTTATGATAGATTAAATAAGAAAGATGAAAGAGTTAAAGGAAGCAGAAAATAATTTAGAATGTAATCATTTTTATATTTATATTAATAGAAAAAAGATAAAATTTTTAAAGATTGCTAACTAATTATATACAGGAACTTAAATAGAAATTATGATTTTACTAATTTATATAAAAATGAAATGTTTTAATTCATTAATTGATCTAAATGAACTTTTTTTTCATTTTTTACTTCTAAATTTAAAGTAAAAAAATCATTTTCATTAATTAAAATGAAAGTCCATTTATCTAAATTAGGAAATCAAAACACTTCTGACAGAGTTTAGGTTATTTGTAAATTTAACCCTAGCTCTCTTTCAAGCTAGGGATCTCAACCTCAGCAACCTTCTTTTTATGGATTATCAATACCTTTAATTGCTGTAAGAGTTAAAATTTCCTATTAATTAGATTATAAATATACTTCAGAACAAGTAGGATGAATACCAATAGTTGAATCAAATTATTCTTTTGTAGCTCCTAATTTCATAGCAATTGCATAACCCTAAACAATTTCACCTGCATTAGGTCCCAAATAATGTAAACCAATAACTCTTCTTGTAGATACCAATACAATTAATTTAATCATACAAGCTTATGCATAATGAGATTCCAATAGATTCCATTCTAAAGGTTTAAAAATGGAATGATAAATAATAATTTCATTTTATGTAAATTTATTTATGGCCTCTTCTTCTGAATAACCTATGCAACCATATTCAAGTGGAGTAAAAATAGTTGTAGGAACAAATTAATAACACATCATTTTCTTTTATCCACCAAATAATCGATTAGCCAATAATTATCCACATTTTATGGCTGTAGGAGTAAGTTCTGGTCTACCTTCAACACAATCACCAATAGCATAGATATTCATAATAGATGTTCTATCATCAATAGTACATATAATTTTTCCATTTTTATTAGTTTTAACACCAATTTATTCTAGATTCAATTTATTAGTATCACTTTTTCTACCAGTGGCAATAATCACAGTATCAAATATATCACTATGTTGAATTCCTTTTTAAGTCCAAGTTACTAATCTTTTATTATTTTCAGTTAATTCTATATTAATAGGAATAGCTTCCTTTATAAATTTAATTCCATTCTCCATCATGTAATCTTCAATCTTACCTGCTATTTCTTAATCAAATCCTCTTAAAAGTATACTTCTAACCATTATAGTAGTATCATAACCTAAACCATTCAAAAAGCCTCCACATTCAAGTGCTACATAAGAAGCACCTACAATAAGAGTTTTACCTGGATTATTAGGTAACCAAAATAAATCATCTGATGTAATTACTTTTTTTTCTATTTCAGGAATATTTTCTGGATAACTGGGTCTTCCACCTACTGCAATTAGTATGTATTTTGATTTAATAAATTCTATTCCTCCATCCTTGTCAATTAACTATATATTATATATATAATAATATACTTTCACAATATTGGATTTTTCTAATTCTGCTAATTTATTGTAATATTTAACTTCCTTTTTGTTTAATTAATTTTTATATGAAAAATTAAGTTTTTTTATATGATTTTGTACATTCTCTGTCATTCTATTCCAATCATGTTTTCCTTAAATATCAGTATCTATCCATCTAAATATATATTAATTTTCTTACCCTGCTTCTATTTAATCTTTTCTAAGTTCTCCTGCCATAGCTGCAAAATGCATTAATTTCTTTGGAATACATCCCACATTCACACAAGTACCACCTAAACCCCATTTGGTTCCTTGTGGAGAAGGTTTTACAAAATCAGCCAAACCTACTTTAGCTCCATATGATGCAGCTTATTTAGCAGCAGCCAATCCTCCTGAGCCACCTCCAATGACAAAAAAATCAAATTCTTAAGAAATTTACATAATTTATATATTAATTTTTAAAATTGTCTCTATATCATAAATTAATAATTAAATATTATTTTTTTGCTTGACATTTTTTGAATAAATCTGTATCATTGAATGTATATTTAGGTAGTAAAGGTTTGTTTTAATATTATTTATTATTAACATAATCTTTAAATTCTTGATATATTTTTAAGTCTCTTTATTCTTTAGGATTTGATAATTTAATTTCTTTTTAATTTTATTACCTTAATCTATTTTACCATAAGAATTAATGTTTTAAACTATGTTAAGGCATTACAACTAAAGGTTAAATTGTATATTCAGATGATTTAGGTTTTTATTGTGGAATAAACAAATTTTAATGTTCACAATTATCATTTTTAGTATTAAAATTATTAAATGAATTATCAATAAAATTATAAGTAAATTATTAGTATTTAATTTAATTTTAAATGGATTATGATTTTGCTCTATTTCTAGATTAAGACGATTTAAGTTATCTTTATTTAAATGAATTTGATCTTGGATATTATCTTTCTAAATTAATAATCTTTTCTTTGAGTGGTTATTATATTTATTTAATTTCATCATCACCAATTTCATCTTCTGATATTGATGAATCTGAAAAACTGATATCAGAATTCTATTCATTTATTAATATACTTTCTGTCTATATTTATTCTTTATGATTATTATTTTTAGATAATGTCATGATTATTTCTTTTCCCATAGATCTTAGATCATTTAGAGTGAAATCCACAATTTAATTTTAATTCTTATATCCAAAGTATGAAATTTCAAGTGTATATATATTCTACTTCATATTCAATAATTTTTATAAAAATACTCTGGCTGTATGATTCAAATATTTAGTATTTTTCATAAATCTACTATTTTCAAGACTGAATCTTTTATCTGAATTGCAAAGTTCATTAATAAATTCATTACAACTATGACCATAAAAAAAGGCTGATAATCTAATTTATTAAATTTACTTTACTTCTTACTATGACCATGAATATCAAGAATCAATTAGATAGGATAGTTTTAATTAAAATTAGTTATTAATTTTTCAACTTAATTTAATGTATCATCTCTATTACATCCCCATTTTCTATTTAAATCAAAACCTGCTAAACCACATCTTTAATTTCCATGTATTACACCATCAACATTTAACATTGGTATAATTTTAATAACAAACTTATTCCTCAATTCATCAGCCTCATTTGATAACAATGCATTGATTATTCCTTCAATTACAAATGAACTAGGTGTTTCACCAGGATGTTATCTACCTATAAATAATAATCCACATTTTTAATCTTAATTATCATTTGTTATTGTAACTATTTAAATATCATTTCCAGCTTAACTTGTTATTATATTTTTGACTTTCATTATTCTATCGTAAACTAAGTATTTACTAGATATAAAGGTTTATAGATTTGAATAAGTATAAGGGTAATTAGATGCAAAATAAACAGTTCCTTATTCAATAAATGTATAATTAAATGAAAGAGAATAATAAAATGAGGAATCATTTCTTTAGATATGATTTTTTTTAAATGACAAACCTAATGAATCTTTTCTCCATTAATTACATTCATTTATTAAGATTTTCATTCCTTAACGATAAAAACACATATCTTTGTTGATATTTATTATACTGAGTCTGATATTACACATAATTGAATTCTTATTTTAAATTGAAAAATAAAACCATTGTGTATATCCTTTTGTATTAATATCATTTTATAGGAGTAAGAAATAATCGTGATCGCTTTTCTAGTTAGATATTATAGAAATACTTTGAATACTTAGAATAAGTTCCCACTTTCAAATAGAGAATCAAATTTAATATTCTCATCTTAATTTTAATAATAATGAGAAGTATCAAAAGTATTTCCATGTTAATGAAGTAGAGTTGCATATAAATTTTGGTTCTGTTATGGTTAATATTTTTGGTATATTAATTTGAAGGGTTTTAAAAAAGCTTAAAGAGTAATTGGCTTTTAGGTTATACATTCTTATTCTTATTATTAAATCACTGTTTTATAAGTTGCTTCTTATTCATTTGCTTCTAAATAACTAAATAATATAACTAAAATATAAATACTTTTTTTTTAATGGTAATATTGAATTTACTTTGTTTAAATGAAGTTATTAAATTAGAATAGGATTAGGCTTAGGTAATTTATCTTTAATGGATGAATAGAAAATTAAATTTTCTTTATCTTCCTTTTTTGAATGGTTTCTTACATCGACTGTTTAACTTATATTCTTCATTTATTAACGAATAGATTTTAATATTTTAATCTATTTTAATATTCATGAAAAATTGAAAGATAATTAGATTAATATATATTCAGTTACAATCATTAACCATTCTATTTTGTTTAGTATAATTGATTATGTATTAATAATATCATTCTAGATTTAAAATTTAATTAGTATGCTTAAATTTATATTGCTTTTATATTTAATTAGTCAAGTATATTAATTGATTGAACTTAATTGAAGGAACATGTCTATTATATAATATATTACTATTTAATTATAAAATTGAGATGTATTTTTTAAGTTATCAATTTAATTTAAACATTCTATATAACACTTAATTCCATTTGAAAACTTAACATAATGAGTTAAGTTTAATTCAATTAATCAACTAAACTTAATATCATAATATATTTATAGAAGAATAAATTATGATAATTCTAAAAATAAAAGACTATATATTGTAAAATAGAATAATTAGGAATTAGAATAATAAGATTACTATTGATTAAATTAATTAAAATAATTATAAAAAATATCACTTAAATTTTATCAATGTAATTTATATAAGCAATACTATTTAATTCAATAATATATATTAAAAAAAACAATTTTATAAATTTTTATATAATAATTGACTCATTCATTCTTTCTTTGCATGTTCTTCTGTCCAATATTATTAGAGCTTTTAACTTCCATGATCAGGAACCATTGTTGGTTTTCCTGNCCTTTTGTATTAATATCATTTTATAGGAGTAAGAAATAATCGTGATCGCTTTTCTAGTTAGATATTATAGAAATACTTTGAATACTTAGAATAAGTTCCCACTTTCAAATAGAGAATCAAATTTAATATTCTCATCTTAATTTTAATAATAATGAGAAGTATCAAAAGTATTTCCATGTTAATGAAGTAGAGTTGCATATAAATTTTGGTTCTGTTATGGTTAATATTTTTGGTATATTAATTTGAAGGGTTTTAAAAAAGCTTAAAGAGTAATTGGCTTTTAGGTTATACATTCTTATTCTTATTATTAAATCACTGTTTTATAAGTTGCTTCTTATTCATTTGCTTCTAAATAACTAAATAATATAACTAAAATATAAATACTTTTTTTTTAATGGTAATATTGAATTTACTTTGTTTAAATGAAGTTATTAAATTAGAATAGGATTAGGCTTAGGTAATTTATCTTTAATGGATGAATAGAAAATTAAATTTTCTTTATCTTCCTTTTTTGAATGGTTTCTTACATCGACTGTTTAACTTATATTCTTCATTTATTAACGAATAGATTTTAATATTTTAATCTATTTTAATATTCATGAAAAATTGAAAGATAATTAGATTAATATATATTCAGTTACAATCATTAACCATTCTATTTTGTTTAGTATAATTGATTATGTATTAATAATATCATTCTAGATTTAAAATTTAATTAGTATGCTTAAATTTATATTGCTTTTATATTTAATTAGTCAAGTATATTAATTGATTGAACTTAATTGAAGGAACATGTCTATTATATAATATATTACTATTTAATTATAAAATTGAGATGTATTTTTTAAGTTATCAATTTAATTTAAACATTCTATATAACACTTAATTCCATTTGAAAACTTAACATAATGAGTTAAGTTTAATTCAATTAATCAACTAAACTTAATATCATAATATATTTATAGAAGAATAAATTATGATAATTCTAAAAATAAAAGACTATATATTGTAAAATAGAATAATTAGGAATTAGAATAATAAGATTACTATTGATTAAATTAATTAAAATAATTATAAAAAATATCACTTAAATTTTATCAATGTAATTTATATAAGCAATACTATTTAATTCAATAATATATATTAAAAAAAACAATTTTATAAATTTTTATATAATAATTGACTCATTCATTCTTTCTTTGCATGTTCTTCTGTCCAATATTATTAGAGCTTTTAACTTCCATGATCAGGAACCATTGTTGGTTTTCCTGGTTTCCATGAGGCTGGACAAACTTCACCATGTTCATCAGTGAATTAGAATGCTTATACTAATCTAGAAAATTATATATGTGTCATTTATTACCTCAATGTTTCATCGACATTTCTTCCAACTGGTAAATCATTGACTGAATAATGTCTAAGAACACCATTCTTATCAACTATGAATGTGCCTCTGAAAGCAACTCCAAAATCTCCATCTTAAGGATCATCAATTAGAACTCCATAATCAGCAGAAATAGTCTAGAATATTCATTATATATAAAAATTACTTTTCCTAAGTCAGCAATCAATGGAATTTACATATCACCCAATCCTCCTTGATTTCTTGGGGTTTGGCAATACTTCATGTGTGAGAAATGTGAATCAACTGAAACAGCAGCAACTTCACATCCAATCTTTCTGAATTCCTATTAAAAGTTAAGATTAAAAGAATTACTTCAACTCTATCAGAAAAAGCAATGATCTCAGTTGGACAAACAAAAGTGAAGTCCAATGGATAAAAGAATAAGACTAAGTATTTGCCTTTGAAATCTGAAAGTGACACTTTCTTAAATGATCCATTAACATAAGCTGTGGCTGTAAAGGCTGGAGCAGGCTTTCTAATTTTAAGCTTTTAACTCATTTCTTATTAATATTATTGCACTCCAAAAATATTATATCCATTTATAGAGTGACGACAATTTAATTTAATTACGATTGAATTATTTATGTATAAGAATAATCAAAACTCAATTAGAAATTCTGTCTATTTTTTAATTTTTAAAGATAATCACGAAGAAGGCTTCATCTTGAATTATTATCATTTTATATTAATCTTAGTCTTAAGTTAGAATATTGCAAAAATTAGAATATTCAATATAATAATTACGTTTTTTTGATATTTTGATAGGAGATAATCACTTGAAGTATCTTCAATAAGGTTTAACAATAATAAAGTAATTTCAAATCCTATTCAATCGATGATATCAATTTTATAAAACAGGTAATTATTTTCCAGAACCATAGGAAATTTTAAGAGTAGATTAGAGAAATCTACTCAAATCATCTATAAATATCACTAAGTAGTGTAGTATTAATTTGATAAACAAAGATTCATATAAGATTTTACTTAATGTTGAGAAAATATATAATGGTTAATTGGTAACAGCAGATCGGATATGAAATGACTTAGTAGAGAGTTCTCAGATCCACAATTTCACAATTAGTATATTAAAGTGTATATCCAGGATTGAAAATCTCAAAGCTAAAAATAAAAGATATTCTTTTATTACTAAACCACTCAGTTTCGTCTAAGATACATTTCCTATCTGAAGATAAAGCTTGCATATTTAGTTCACTTTTTATTGATACTCGGAAATCAATTGCTTTTCATCAATTAACAAATATTTTTGTTTGTAGAAATAGTTAATATTTCATTTCAATGAAAATTATTTTTGAATATCACTTTGATCTTTTTGAAATTAGAGGAGGATTAAGTGGTTTAGCTAGCAGCAAAGCAGCTGTATAGCTGAGGGAAAAAGTAGGTTTGGCAGATTTTGTTGTTCCTTCTCCTCAAAGTCAATCATGAGGTGTGGGAAGAACTTGTGTAAATGTTGGGTGCATTCCTAAAAAATTATTTCACATTGCTGCTTAATTGGGTGACTATAGAAAAGATTAGGGTAAAGGTGGATGGAGTGGTATTAATAAAAATAATTCTCATAATTGTAACTAATTGGTTTAAGTAGAGAATAATATGATTTTAAGACTAAAAAAAATGCATGAAAATAATCTCAAGATTGCAGGATTATGACAAGTTGTTTTGCAAATATTACAATTTGTACTATATTAATTAGGGGCTTATACTATTTTTGTATATATAAATTTTTTGAAATCTTCTTAATCTTTTGTTAAATTAGAAATTTTTTACTTTTCGTTTTCTGATCTAATATTAATAATGATGATATTCTAGATTTACTTTCTTTCTTTAATAACCTCTTAGGTGAGTACAAAGTAACAAAATTTTTTTAAGAATTTTTTCATTATAAGTATTAAATGATTTATAAGCCATATCCCAATATATTTTTGAAATTTGATTTCTATTTTATGAAAAAGCTTCATTTTTAAATCCTATCCAATACTGTCCTCTTTTTTGATTTATAATATTGGCAAAAGGACTTGCAGAATGCTCATGATCTCCTTTAATTTAAATTGCATCAAGTACTAGTGCCTTAAAGCCATCCCAAAAAGTAAACAAAAAATAACATTTTGTATAACAACATTACTAAATAATTATAAGATACGATTAATAATGTATCTTTGATGAAGGGTTAATCTAGTTGTAGTAGATTTCATTACAAAACAAATCAAAGTAATCGAATCTGCAATTTCGTTGTTATTAAGTTTGAAATTTTTTCATCTTCTTCGTATCCTCTGGTGGCTCCAAGTTTAGGGGTATCAATTATTCTTAGAGCAGAATTTCCATCCAATCCTTTTATATAGTTGTTATATATATTCTTCATCAACAATTATAAATCTAAATGGATCTACAAGTTAAACTTCAATATAATAATTATTGAAAAAGTTTATCATTATTGATTTCCCAACACCTGTTTTTCCAATTACAACTAAAGATTTTAAAATACTTTAATCCTTCAAATCTCTTTATTGAATCATAGGGTGCTTATAAAAAGTTACATTGTTTTATTTTATTTTCAATTTTTAGCAACTTTTTACCAAATTCAGAAGACGATCGTTTTTAATTTTATCTTTAAATTGAAGGGTTTTCTAATTTACCTAACTGTTTGCCCAATCCTCCAATTTATACTTTTCAATCTCCAAAATATTTCTAAGTCTTTGTGGAGGAATTTCTAGAAGTTTCTTACTAGAATCGATACCATTTTCCTCAAGTTTTTAAAAGAAAAATCCCAGATTTTGTTCCTTTCAATTTTGATTTCATTTTCTAAAATTTACCTAAGGTCTTATATATTTTATTATTGATTTAAATTGTTTCTTCTAAATTTTATTAGAATTCCTTTAATAAATATTTCTAAATAATCTATATATTTTTAATTACTTATCTTTTGAGTGCTATTATGATAATGATCAATTTTATCATTATAAAAATTAAATCATTTTTATCTTTAAAATTGAAATTCAATAATATTGTATTTAAAAAACACTTCTTTTTTTTTCTCAATATAGTTTATGAAATTGATTTTATGATCAAAGTATTTTTTTTGAAAAAATCGAAAATTCTTTTAAATAACAAATAATTAATTTGCAATATTAATTATGCAGATAAATATAGAAGGATGATATTTTATAATTTTTTTTAATGATTATTCACCACAGAAGCACATTATATGATTCATTTATCAGACCACCACAGAATCACCATACATGCTTCATTTATCAGACCACAAGTATTTCCTGGTGCTAATCTAATAGTTCCAAATTCTCCCCAAGATATTCCAAAAGATGCTTGAACTCTCCAAACATAACTCTATACTGTATATTCTTAACCAATAGCTAATGCATAATAATTTGAGTTTTTATATAATGAACTACAAAGTGAGAATACTCCGGAGCTATAGAATTACCAGTTAGTAGCATCAACTCTTACTGATAAAGGCTGCTCGTTTAACATTTATGTGAAACCCCTCATATAATCTATATCATCACTATTCTAATAGTAAGACATAATTTTCCATGGTCCGAATCCTGAATATTCACAATAAGAAATATCCTTCCTGCCGACATACGGATATTCAGACTCAGTTACAAGCCCCAAAGTACTTGCATGATCATATGCTTACTAAGGTTAAGTAAATACAGTTGGAGTTCCATCGCATGACCCCTAACCACCCGCACAATCCATGACTTGCTGTGGTGATAATGTTACTGTTATTCCTTTTTCAATTTTATATTTTGCTTCAATAACATTTGTTGCTGCCATTGCCCAAGAGGAAGCACAGTTTCCTGTATTTTTAACTGGGGCATAACCTCTCCAATCAATATTTAGTTTTTAATTTTATTCTATATTTGGTTCAGGTGACTTAGGATTAGTTTTACTTATGATTTAATCTTATTCATTTTATTTTTCGGGTGATAATGGATTCAAATAAAGACTAACAAATTCTTCATTTGTAATAGCCATAAATTGATTTTCTCCCATTAAATAAGTAACATCAGTTCTTTTATTATGTTCATCTATCATTTATTTATTTTAAAAATAAATGGTTTATCTGTATGTTTTCTCATCACCAAAATAGCGTTTTCCATGTTTCAAAGCCCATCTTTCGAATTCAGAATCAGAATCTAAATTTACTTGGTAGAAACCAACACAAATTAGTAATGACGTCAATGTGGCTGCTATTATATTTTTCATTAATTATATATTCAATTTNTTATGATAATGATTAATTTTATCATTATAAAAATTAAATCATTTTTATCTTTAAAATTGAAATTCAATAATATTGTATTTAAACAAAACTTCTTTTTTTTTCTCAATATAGTTTTGGAAATTGATTTTATGAACAAGGTATTTTTAAAAAAAATAGAAATTCCTGTTAAATAACAAATAATTAATTTGCAATTTTAATTATGCATATAAATATAGAAGGATGATATTTTGTAATTTTTTTAATGATTATTCACCACAAAAGCACCATATATGATTCATTTATCAGACCACAAGTATTTCCTGGTGCTAATCTAATAGTTCCAAATTCTCCCCAAGATATTCCAAAAGATGCTTGAACTCTCCAAAAATAACTATCTACTGTATATTCTTAACCAATAGCTAATGCATAATAATTTGAGTTTTTATATAATGAACTACAAAGTGAGAATACTCCGGAGCTATAGAATTACCAGTTAGTAGCATCAACTCTTACTGATAAAGGCTGATCGTTTAACATTTATGTGAAACCCCTCATATAATCTATATCATCACTATTCTAATGATAAGCCATAATTTTCCATGGTGCGAATCCTGATTATTTACACCATTAAATCGTGCCAGTATACGGATATTCAGACTCAGTTAAAAGCCCTTGAATTCTTGCATGTTCATATGCTTACTAAGGTTAAGTAAATACAGTTGGAGTTCCATCGCATGACCCCTAACCACCCGCACAATCCATGGCATTCTGTGGTGATAATGTTACTGTTATTCCTTTTTCAATTTTATATTTAGCTTCAATAACATTTGTTGCTGCCATTGCCCAAGAGGAAGCACAGTTTCCTGTATTTTTAACTGGGGCATAACCTCTCCAATCAATATTTAGTTTTTAATTTTATTCTATATTTGGTTCAGGTGACTTAGGATTAGTTTTACTTATGATTTAATCTTATTCATTTTATTTTTCGGGTGATAATGGATTCAAATAAAGACTAACAAATTCTTCATTTGTAATAGCCATAAATTGATTTTCTCCCATTAAATAAGTAACATCAGTTCTTTTATTATGTTCATCTATCATTTATTTATTTTAAAAATAAATGGTTTATCTGTATGTTTTCTCATCACCAAAATAGCGTTTTCCATGTTTCAAAGCCCATCTTTCGAATTCAGAATCAGAATCTAAATTTACTTGGTAGAAACCAACACAAATTAGTAATGACGTCAATGTGGCTGCTATTATATTTTTCATTAATTATATATTCAATTTATTTTATTCACCCAAACAATATAATAGAAATTATATAGAAAATCTTTTTATTTCCATAAACTGAATTTCAAGTAATCAATCCAAAAATTAATATCAGTTAAATATTAATTAACCTTCTAAAAGAATTACATATAAAATAATCCTTTTCTTAGAACTGTATTTCCTCTTTTGTTAGAACCTTGTGACTTGGAATATTAGTGCAAAAAGCCCTTCCATTTGTTAAACAAAATTAATAATCAGAAAAGACATTGACTAAATAGTTGAATTCCATTATATTGGACCAAAGGCTGCTGAAGTGAATTAATCTTTTAAGTTGCTATAAGAATTGGAAGAAGTCTGATTTTGATTCAACTATTGGAATTCATCTATCAGTAGCAGAGGTATTAATAATTAAATAATCTATAAGAATTGGTTGAAATGAAAAAAATTAAATGATTTATTTATGGTAAGTAGAATTGTAAAATTAGAAAATATATTTATTATAGAGGAGATGAAAATTCTATGATATTTTGATATTTGCTATATGATATATTTATTAATTAAGATAATTCAAATAAATTATCTATTGTTAAAAGAAATTTTCAATGATTATTGTTTTCAACAATATAATTATATTTTAGTTTAAGTAGATTTTGATTAATTTAGTTAAAATCTGATTTAATTTGGGTATTACTCCATGAGACTAATTTGAATATTATGATCAAGAATAACTGTTAAGTTCAATATATGATATAAAAGTAGTAAAATAACATCTTAAGGGCGTATTAGAAATTATGGTAGAATAAAATAAAATTCAGAGATTTAAAAAGTTCGAATAATAATTTGAATACAATTATATGTTTTAATTTTTAATACTCTTTATAATACAAATGATAAAATGATAGAGAGAATAAGATACTAAAAATTGATTGAAATTCAATAATAGCCTTTTTGTATCAATTTTTATTTATAATAATTAGTATTATCAGATTTCTAATATTATTAGTATTTATTGTTGCAATTACTTGAAACATCATTTCGATTTTATATTATTATTAATAATAATACTTCCACAAAATTTTATGCATATTTCTAATCCAATTAGCAATTTTTTAGTGCAATCAAACCATTTGATAATTCTCTTTTCAATTAAGTAAATGTGCTATCATGCGCATAAAGTTTTTGAGAAGATTAATTTTAAGACAATATTCAGGCTTGGGTATTTGGAGATCCTCGAAGAACTTGAAATATTATTGATTTGTTTTATAAAAAACATTTTAATAATAAAAAAATCAAAAAGAAATATGAACGCAGAGGAAAGACCTGGTACATCATTTACATCAAAGAGACAGGTTCAAACTGAATAAAGAAAGCGATAGCAAATGAATTTGGGTACATTAGAGACTGAAGATAAAAGTGTAAGTGTAGTGGTACTTATTGTAGACAGGAATGAAAATTAGACCGATTACTCAAGATCAATAGAGAAACAGTTTGCAATAGAAGAGATAGAAGATGATTCCTTAGGCAATTTTATATGACAGGGAATCTTTGTATGAAGAAGTTATAAATGCAAAATAAATCAATAACAATCTGTAAAGAGAGAACTAAGCTTTACATACAAAAATAAAAATGATGGATGTAAAATTGATTAAGACTTATAGGAAGAATTACAAAGAATGGTTAGAGCTACTCCAATAAGTGAGCAAGTTATTAACCCAATGGAATCATTTTATTAAGATAGTAAACCTATGAAATAACATTTAATAATGGATTTAAAGAAATAATTAAGAAGATTACAAGAAGAATCAATAAAAAAGGATTAATAAAT